CTTCCATAAAAATTCCTCTGAAAAAAAAAAAAACAGGGCAAGCAAACAAGTGTTAAGAGTTTGGACTGTGGAACATGGAGAGTACAATGGAAAACTCTGTCTCTCTTCCCTCTTCGCTCTTCCCCTTCCTCATTTTCACTCTCTCCTCCTCCCGATTTCCAGCACATTGTGTTTTCTTGTCACATGCTCTGTTTCCCCCTCCCACATAATAAGTTCCAAACATCCCCGTCCTAATTGCTAGAATCCTCCCAACTTCTTCACTGTCCTCTCCAGCTCCAATGGTTTCCATCTCCATTGTTTGCCTCCTCTCTCTCTTCCTCCTTCTTCCCTCTCCGACCATCACCGCCGCCTTCAACTACAAATCAGCCCTTTCAAAATCCATCCTTTACTTCGAATCACAGCGCTCCGGCCATCTACCCCACACCCAGCGCGCCACCTGGCGCCACCACTCCGGCCTCGCCGACGGCTTGCAGCAAGGAGTCCGTCTTCCTCTACTTCTCATTTTCCGATTCTGTGATTGTACGCAGTAATAACCAATAATGAGAGCCCGGTGGATTTGCAGGTGGATCTAGTCGGAGGCTACTATGACGCCGGCGATCATGTCAAGTTCGGGCTACCGATGGCCTTCACGGTGACGATGCTGTCGTGGGGCGCGGCGGAGTACGGCGAGGAAATAGCCGCCGCCGGTGAGGAAAGACATGTCTTGGAGGCGATCAAGTGGGGGACGGATTACTTCGTTAAGGCGCATACGGAGGCTAATGTGCTTTGGGCAGAGGTGCGCGCAGATAAATTGAAGTCCTCTGTTTTCATTTTATTTCAAATAATGTATGATTGAATAGCCGATTTGAAATCAAATTTAGTGGATGCTTGTTTGAAAGAGATCTATATATTTCTTTTAATTTGTAGTAAGCAAAAAAGTACAATTTTGAATGGTCTTTGCATTTTAGGTGCCCAAAAATCCTATTTTTCTTGCATTTAAAATTGATAGAATCAACCTATTTTCAAATCTTGCATCTTCTTCCTTGCACTCCTTTGCCGCCGCCTCGTGCCCCCTTGCATGCATTGCATCGCCCCGTATTTCCATCCCTCTGTTACATTTTCTTACTCAGAGAAATTATTCTGTGTGGACACTAGACGGTCCGGAGTGATGTGGCACATTCTGATTGGTCTCCGAATCGTCCGGTGTTCGCATAGAATAATTTTTCCTTCACTCAAGACCCCTTATCGTCTATTTCCTTCTTACTTATCTTGATTCATGATAGGCCTAATTGTCCTTAGATTTATACTAAGATTAGTATAGTTGGTAGATATGCCAATATGTGCTAAAATTGTAAAATACTTGAACTTATTTACTAATTTCATGTAGAATTGACTCTACTCAACTGAAAATAAAAATTCCAACCAAATGTGAGCCAAGTACCAAGTTTAAATTCTTTTTTTCCCAACGGCTCAATTGATTTTCTCCCTACTGTTTGTTGATTTAGGTGGGTGATGGAGACACTGACCACTACTGCTGGCAACGGCCGGAAGACATGACAACCCCCAGACAAGCCTACAAAATTGACACCAACAAACCCGGCTCAGACCTTGCCGGCGAGACGGCCGCCGCCATGGCCGCCGCCTCCATCGTCTTCCGAAAATCCGACCCCCATTACTCTCACCTTCTTCTACATCATGCACAGCAGGTCGGTAACAATGGTGATTAATAGAGAAATGTAAACAAATGAGTGTATTATTTGATGGAACGGTTCTATGGTGAAATGATTGCAGCTGTTCGAGTTCGGAGATAAGTATAGGGGGAATTATGATAAGAGTGTGGAGAAGGTGAGGAGCTTCTATGGGTCGGTGAGCGGCTACATGGACGAGCTGCTATGGGCGGCATTGTGGCTACACAGAGCTACAGGGAAGAGAGAGTACTTGGATTATGCTGTGGCGAATGGGGTCTTTTTCGGTGGCACGGAATGGTCCATCAAGGAGTTCAGTTGGGATGTTAAGTTTGCTGGCATTCAAGTTCTGGCTGCAAAGGTCTCTCTCTCTCTCTCTCTCTCTCTCTCTCTCTCTCTCTCTCTATATATATATATAATATTTTAAGTAAAATTGATCAATATTTATAATTTTGAGTAATTTGCATGCATACCATTTTATATTATGATAATTACATATCTAACACTTAATATAGGGGTAGTAGAGTATGGGTGCAAGGAATGAAATATTAAAAGTTTATAGGATTGTATGTGTGGTAGAAATGAAATATAAGACTGACATATTTGATATTAAAATTGTTTATGGATGATAGATATAAAATATTAAAGTTTTGTTTGTTAAATATATAAATAGTTTGATATAAAGTGGTATGCATGTAAATCCCATTATTTAAATAAATTGAATTTATTTTGATGAAATTTATTTAAGTAATCATATATTATATAAGTATAAGAATTTGATAATTTTCACGATTAAATTTTAATTAGAATATTTTTTTAATATTGATGGTTTTGAAGGCAGTGGCTTTGCCTATGATTTTATTTGGCAAAAATGTGAGAAATAATGGGTCTTTTTTTTATATGTTATCAAATTGAATATTTTAATAAATATATTTATTTGTTAAAAAATTTTGGAAAAGAAATTGTGAATGGACTGATAACTTATCATGAGGGACTTTTTTGTTTGAATAAATTTCTTAATTATTAAATTGATTTTGAGATAAAAGAAATATATTTTTAATTAATTATTTATACATTATATTTATTTCAAAATAAATTTAATAATTAAAAATAGATACTTTAACACGATATTTTTTAATTAAAAAATAGATCAGAATATTTTAATTAAATTTTTAATTATAAAAAGTTTAAAGTTATGCATCCAAATCTTTTAACACCGAGATTTTAAGAATTTAATGAGGATACTCTTTCCAAAACTTAAAACAATTGGAAGGAAGAAGTCCACGTTAAGTTGTCATTTTCCAATTTCTACCCATAAAATTTTAAAATTTCACTTTTAATTTTTTTCTGGTTTTAAAATTTTGATCCACGGCATTATTTATCTTTCTTCATCCTTTAGAATATTTTAGTTTATTATTTTTATAATTTTATGTCTTTAATATAATTATTTTTATTTATTATTTATCTTATCATGATTGTTCAACAATTTTTACACTAGCTATCGACTAACTAATGTGATCTTTCATTTTTCTCATTTAGAACTTGTAACCTGGCTTTGAAATAACTTTTTTTTATATTTGCATTAGAATTCAATTCTTACTAGAATACAAAGGATATTTTATTTTGAGATTTATGAGTCAATTAAGACAAATTCATACACATTTTCTACTTAAACTACGAATCTAAGACCTCTTGATTATTAGCCAAAGCTCTCGAGCTGTTTTAGATAGTAATTAGATACAATAATAAGGTTCATGTGGAGACCAAACTATGGTTCAGACCAAACTATGGTTCTTTGAACCTCATTAGAGACTAATTAACCATCAGTTACTTTCATTGTAAGGTCTTTTTTTATATAATTTATTATTGACAAATTAAATGCTGTTAATTTTGATTAAAAAGTGTAACATTATAAATCTAATTTGTGGAAATTAGTTCACTTGATTGTTGCTTTCTTTGTTTCCAAAATTTTGCTCAAATTTTTTTAATATTTAAGAGCGTTAGATTAGCAATTAGGTTTCTAACATGATTGATACTCTACCAAAAAGTTCAGTAATTGAGTGCAGATTTCAACACTTTTTTCTGGTCAAAACACCAAAATATTTGAGCAAAAAAATATCTAAAAATTGGTTCCAAGATCATTGCCACTCTACTTTTAGTAAACTTAGTAATCAAAGATCGATAGTGTAATTTGATGAAACGAACACAATGAAACAAAAGAAGACTTGAATTCACAAATCGGGACATTACAAAACATAATTAGAACATTCACAAGGCCATTTGACTTCTCAAATGGTCTATTGTCGACTTGTGTTTATCGCCATCCGCTAGTAAAATATTGACACTACAGCATTATAACATTCTCTATAATCATTGCATGAGGAATCCTTACATTTCGATTTTATTTAGCCTCTCTCAATATAGAATTAAGAATCAGTATTGTTGGAGGCTAGAATATATGCGGCAATAGAGTGAGAAAATAATGCATCTTAGCATTGTGACGTCCGGTGGTCGGGCGTCAATCCTGCGACTGGCGTAATCAGGTGATAGTTGGTGGCCGGGCGGAAGTCTGGTGATGACGACGAGCGGTAGTCTAGCGATGTACGTGGTCCAAAAGAAGTCTGGTAGTGGGCAGAAGTTTGCAGCGGGCGGAAGTCCGGCGACTGGCGAACATCCGACGATTATCGGAAGTCCAACGTCGAGCAAAAGTCCAACGGAAGTCCGACGACGGGCAGTGGTCTGGCGGAAGTCCACCGATGGACGGTGGTCTGGCGGAAGTTCATGCGGTGGTTGAGGAGGAGCTTGGTGGCAAGAGAGATCTCATATTTTTCTTCATTCTTCCTCTCCTTCTTCCTTCCTTTTTTCCTCTCTCTTTTGTGAAGAATGAGGGGTATATTTAGAGTTTTGGGGGAGTGGCGTTGTTGATAAATAGTGAGAAGATCAAAGAAAATTTGGGAGTGTTTCGGATGGATTACCGATATTGATTCCCTTGATCAAGAACTATTTATCGAGCATTTTAGTATCTTAATGATGTCAGAATTCAAAGATCTTGGGCACGTTGGATTCATCTTGTCGAGCCGCTCAATTCAACTGTAAACATTTCACATTTGGAAGTCATTTGGTCATCCAACATATGTTTTGAAACTTCAAAATGTGCTTCAAATTCTCGATTTGAACCCATTTGAGCTCAAATTGGACTGAGTTTGGTGTCGTTGGATTAGTCTATTCAAGATGTTCAGTTCGACAATAAGTTTGCTAAAATCAGAGTTTGGATAATCCTAAAATTAATTTGGAAAGTTTCAAATTCAATTTTTCCTCAAGACCCGTGCCCAATCAAGATTACTTTTGGATGATATATCAAGTATAATCTTCAATCTGTATAGTGAAATCTTTTCAGCAACGTCAAATTTCATAATTTTTTTATTTTTTTGACATAAGAGATAATCTTATCTCTTATGTATTGTGAGCTATTTATTCATGTGTCGTATTTACATGTATCACTAAGATAATAAACTTTATTTCTTTCATCACAACATTTTAACATATAACAATGATAATAATAAATAAGATAACACATTTTATTTCATGTAAGTAGAGCCAATATTGCATTATCTTATTTTTCAATAAAAAAAAATGGGTGTCAATTCTTTAACATAATTATAATTATAATCATGTTACAATTATCTTTTAAAAAATAATAAATTATAAAATATATTGCTCATATATAACTTCTCCACTACCTTTTATTGTTCTCCGGTTAAAAATCACAACACTGCCAACAAAGAAAAACATCTTGTCTTATATCCAGAGCGACTGGTCGCCTCACACACTCCACAGTTTTACTTACTGCAGTGGCCTGCCGACACTGACTAGAATGAGTATGCCTATGAGCCCTTGGATCAGCTTTAATATGTGTGCCATCTAAATATGATCAGCTGATACAGACGCATATGTTGAAAACCACTGATCTCAAAGCAATTCAAACCCTTTTGGGCTGTCTGTTTCCACCCAAGATTTGATTTAAGTAGGAGTAAATCCAAATTTCGGAAATCCTCAGGGGCCTAAATCCTGACAATTGTTTAGCAACATTTATGATAAATCTTATTAAATCCCGTGTGACTGTTTGGCTATAGAACGAATTTAACGAGCGGACTCTTCCTCTCAAGCCAACATATTTCATAAATCCGACAAAAAACAGGATTTCAGAAATGCGAAATTTAACACGAAAAGGTAGAATTTTTCATCTACGACGGCTTTCATTTTCCGTGAGATTTGGTTTTGCATTTTAGGTCGGTTGGCTAGATTTTGCTCAAATTCACCTCAAATTCGGCCTAAATCCTACTACCAAACAGCTCCTTTGTGTTACTTTGAAAATCCCCATTCTATGCATAGCTGGTAAGAATAAGACCTTTCATGTCCTAATACATGGTCCATGGCACTTGTGAGATAGCAATGCTTAAATTATGAACTACATGAAGAGTGAAGTTCACTCTCCAAATAAAATCGCTTCAGAATTTCTTACATTTTAATTGGGCTCTTATAGTGGAGAAATTATAGCATACCGGTTAATTTCTGAAGGAATTATTCTGTGCAGAGTCTGGACAGGAAGAACCGTCCGGACTATACTCATGACTTGACATACACTATGTACATATATATACGCAATATGTACACTCACATATCTGAACGTTTCTTCCCGTCCGGACTCCGCACAGAATAATTTCTCTAATTTCTAAATGAACTAGATAAGAATTTCTTGCATTTTTTGAAAGCAAAGCAGTAACAGTGATAGAAATCTGTATCACAGATACTGTTACTGAAGGAAGAACCGCTGACAGAGAATCATCAGAAAGTGCTCCAACAATACAGAGCAAAAGCAGAGCATTACATATGCTCCTGCCTCAACAAGAACAACAATGGCAGCAATGTGCTTCGCACTCCGGGCGGCCTTCTGTTTGTAAGACCATGGAACAACATGCAGTATGTTTCTACAGCAGCTTTTCTCCTCACCATATACTCTGACTATCTTACAGCAGCATCAGAGAAAGAACTTCATTGCTATGAAGGAACCGTCCCAGCAGCAGATCTCTTAGACTTTGCAAAGACACAGGCTGACTACATTCTGGGCAACAATCCAAATGGTCTCAGTTATCTTGTCGGTTTCGGTCGCAGGTACCCTACAAGAGTTCATCATCGCGGCGCTTCCATGGTGGCTTACAGGGAGAGCCAAGGGTTCATTGGATGTACACAGGGATATGATGAGTGGTACTCGCGGCGAAAGCCGAATCCAAATGTGATTGTTGGAGCAATTGTTGGGGGGCCTGGATTGAGAGATGAGTTCCTGGACGAACGAGGGAACTATATGCAGACAGAAGCATGCACTTATAATACAGCGCCAATGGTTGGAGTGTTTGCCAAGTTGAATTCTCTTGCACAGACAAATCTGTCAAAAGGGTCACTTCCAGGAGGGCTAAAGTGCTTGGGAAGCTCAGAGTTGGCAGCTGAACAAAATTGATGAGCATTGAATTAGTTTTTTACAAAAGAATGAATTGGCTGCCACTGCAGTTGCTATAAAGGGAAAACGGTATAAGTGGAAAAAGAGTATATAAATATAAACCACAGAAGAAGATAAGAAAGAAACTGGGGAAAATCTCCCCACGAGCAGCTCATTGAGGCAGTAAATAGGTTTTGGTTGTAAAGATGTGTTAGAGTTGGGAAAGATCGCTTATTAGCTTACTAGGAGAGAGTTGAGTTGATGGGTGGTAGTGGAGATTTAGGCTTTGTTCGGGATTGTTTTCTTCATGCTTTTTAAAACAGTTTTTTAATAAAAAATTGAACTTTTTATACTAAAAAGCTGTTTTAAGAAGCAATAAAAAAGCCGTCCCAAACGAAGTCTTAGTTGTGATGTCTAAATTATTTCTGGAACAATATTCGTTTGTGTAGTCTGGATGAGGATCATTGTGCTTGCGTTTAGTGACTTAATTTATCCCTCTAATCCATTGTGGTTATTGGCTACAGTGCAAATGGATAAGATAGCAGTTCAGTGAATTTGTATTTATTGCTCGCATCTATATGTATGTTTACAAGGTTTATAGAGAGCACTTATCTTCTTTCTTTCCACATGAAATTCATTGAGAGGCCTATAGGCGGAACATAATGAAAAATATAGTAAAAATGCAAATCATGAAGACTCACTCTAAGTTGCAATAACGCATAGTGCTTCCCCAGTTCCTCCTATTTTACACTAAGAAAGCTTTGACAAGAACAAAGGTTTAATTGAGCTAATCAACTTCCATTCTCAAGCAGAACAAAAAGAAGCAGAGAATGCATGTGTTTTTAAACGACCTCTGCGCATATAATTATGGCCAAAATCTGTTCGATGTTGCTAGAACTTTAATGACGAGGACTCTAAACCAATTTGCTTCTATAAGAAGATGACTAGTGTTTGTTTTATGAGCTCTAAAATGCTTAAAATATTTAAGAGAGAGAGAGAGAGAGAGAGAGAGAGAGAGAGAGAGACGAAAATGGGAGAAGCTACACACATGCTTGGTAATCCTTCTCTCTTCTCCATGTTACTTTTTAAGCTAAAAATTAATTCTACGAAAAGAAAAGCCCGTTACATTAGACTTTTCATAGCTGATTATTATTCAGTGAAGAGGAAGGCTTGATTTTTTTTATGACTAGGGCTGCAAGCGAACCAAGCGTTCGACGAGCTACTCGTTGCTCGGTTCGATTAAAGTTCATTTGTGATCGTTTAATTAACTAAACAAACAAACTTGAACAATATTTTAAATACTCGATTCTTAAATAAACAAGCTTGAACACTAATGTGTTCGGTTCATTTATGTCCGTGAATAACATCAGTCGAATTTCGTGAACAAGGTCGACTTAAGCTCCCGCGATTTGTTGTTCGATTTCAGACTCGTGAATAAGCCTGGGTTAAAACTTTGAATATTTAATTATAAAATGATAAATATTTCATTTCTGGTAGCTCGAAACATTATACTTATATTATATTATTATATATATATATATTGATGGTCTTACTCATGTTGATAGCTAAGAATTGTTAGATTTTGTTAATGAAACTTGGCTTGTTTAATTAGTTTAAAAAAATTCGCTACTATGTTCGCAAGCATGGCATAGCTCCTTAAGGCTTGTTTGATATATATTCATGATCTTGCTCGCTAAATATGTTCACTGGAACCAAGGCTCATTTGTTAACGAATGAAACATAAACCAAACATGAATTTTTAAACGAACCGAAAATTGAAACCACGAACAATAAAGGCTCGAATAAAAAACGAACCGAAACAATGAACCATGCGAACATAAACGAACTCAACATGAACACTCAACATACTCGACTTGGCTCGATTGTTTGCAGCCTATCATTTAGACATACAACACTGATAAAAAAGAAAACAAAAAAATGCCTGAGAAGAAAAGCCTCCTAAATTTCTTTGAAAGCGATAACAATGATGAATCTCAAACAAAAGGAGCGCTTACTGCTCTAAGAGAAGAGATTATTCATTATTCTCACTTTCTAATAACGACTGGCACTCTTCATTTCATTAATATAAAGTATCCACAACAAGTATTTATTTTGAGAAAGTTTCAACAATCTTAAACATGGTAAAACTATATATATATATATATATTATCCAAGCCATTTCACACTATCAACTCAAACTTCTCCTGATCTTCGATAATACATTTGAGCAAAGCATATATATTCATATCCAAACATAATCATCATTTATACGATGAACCAAATCCTAAGAAAAGTTCAACCCAAAGACGCCAAATTTTCTAAAGAATTTAAAGCCTTATGCCTTTTAGATAAATTGCATCCTACTTGGTCAGATTTTGTCAAAAGCTTTATCCATAAGCAAAGAAATAAGACATTTGCTCGAGCCCGAAATTCCATTAGACTAAAAGTCCAACATATGACTAACAAATGACAACCCAAGGGAAACCGAAGGGCAAGACATTGAAGAAACCAAAGCCATCAGCAAGGATCGAAAAACAAGCATTACTTCAGTGAGAGAATCAATCATATTGCAAATAACTGCTACAGGACAATCACAATAAGGCAAAGAAGCACCAAAACTTCAGTCTCATATGAAAGTTCCTTCCTACTGTTTCTCCATCAATCCCTCCATTAATATTACTGCTTCATTATTCCGTTGGTGCTATATTCAGGAGCTAATGTTCAGTCTACGCTAATGGACCCTACTTTTCTACCTTATAGGACTCAAGTGAAAGAGGTGAAACACCGTGGAACAATTGACCATAGTATTAAAATGAGGACAAATTGACATCAAAGCCACACATGGCAAAGTCCTATGTGTTGTCTTCCTCTTTTTTTAAGGACATTTAGATCTGTTAAGACAAATTCACAAACACATCATATACGCAAGACTCAAACTCTATGCCTTTTAATTGGAAGCCAAAGCACCCGATTAACATGCCAAGATAAGCTACGTGTTGTCCATCCTAAATTTGTAAGAATCTAGTCTTTGTTAGTACAATTTGGTTATCGAATAGTACTATTCAAATAAAGCTGTAATTTCTAAGGGGAATGTTTTCATTTAAAAATGATTTACATGTAATGATTTGTTTAGATTGAGAACTATTGATTTAACTACTAATAAAGTTGTAGTTATCATATTTGGAATGAAAAGTATGTGCATGTTTATTGTGGTAGAATAAAACAGATGTTGAGCTTGAAATTCATTTCTAAAGCAGAGTTGGGGACAAAAAAATCCAAATCTGAAATTTCTGTTAAATCTAAACTGAAAGATTAGGAAAACTATCAAACAAGTTGAAGTAAACTCATCTATTTTAGAGTTCAATCACAGTAATGAACCTGATTCAAATAGAATTCCAACTAAAGATGGCAATAGTTCCTTCGTAATCTTTATATATTGATGATTATACTTGATACGACCTCAAAAATTATTTTGATCGAGCATGAATCTCGAGGAATATTCAAGTTGTAAGTTTTCAAAATTAAATTCGGGAACATCTGAATTCCAATTTCAGCAAACTTATAGTCAAACTGAACATCTCAAAGAGACGAACCAAACAACACCAAAATTGGTCCAACCCAAACCCAAATGAGTTCGAATCGGGGGCTCGAACCACATTTGGAAGGGTCAAAACATTATTTAAATGATAAAAAGATATCCAAATATGGCATGTTTATAGTCAAATCTAGTGGCTCGGCGACATGAATCTAACGAGCCCAAGATCTTTGAATTCCGACATCGTTAAGGCACTTAAATAGTTGAAAAACTCTCTATGATAGGGGAAATCAATACGAGCCATTCGATGGAGCACTCCGAACCTGCCCGGCTGCCCCGGATCTTCTCTAAATTTACAGGGTGTGCCACTCAAGAAAATCTATAAGTAGACCCCCACTCTCTATATGAGGGAGACCTTTTACTGGAAATTGGAGAGAATTCTGAAGCTTCAAGAGCTCTAGCACCACCGCCCGACAGTCGGCCGCCGGCGAACTTTCCCCCGGCCAGACCTTTGACTAGCTCTCCAAATTACTGTAATTTGACCACCTCTAAATCGAGGAACGGGTCAACTCTTATAATTCACTCAAGTTTAGTGGAATCTTTTCACCTGTGTGAAACCCCATGGTTTTTCGCTTTTGGGGCTTTCCATGTAAAAAAGATCTAGTGTTTTTCTTCTCTCTTACTGTTTGTGTGTTAGATATCCGTGCATCTCTAAGACGAAAAGTTTATTCACTCTATCGCCAGGAATCTTTCAGCCCGCAACAATACTCATTTTTGTTATTGCCATCTTCTTAAAGTGAATAAGTTTTCTGATAGATTTGTGATTTGTACGGCTGAATTTGAGAATCAATTAGAAAAGAAAATCAAGATCCTTAGATCTGGTCAAACAGATGAACACACCTTTGTTTATACCGCGCACATTATCGAGCGCCCCCTCGTTGATTTCACGTCGATAATTGACGACCTCTTGATCTGAGCCGTCCAAGAAGTATAATATTCGCTGTCGTCTTTAAGATATGGCCGGAGAAGCTCACCGAAAAGCTCCGGCAAAGTTGATCCGATGATGACACCGGCGTTAGACTTCAGCAACAGCACGCGCAAAATCCCTAAGGTCAGTTTAGGGAAAATTTTTATTTCCGAGTCCGGACGCCGTCGCTTTTTTTTTTTCGTTTAGAGAAAATTCAAAAAATTCAACTACTTATTTAAACCTATGTTATATACTAAATTTTATGTAATATATGATGTTATCTATTCCATAAGAAAAAAAAAATCTATATTAACCCACCAATATAAGTATATATGACTCAATATTTAATTTATAAATAAATTTGTTCATCTAATATATAAAAATTAGTAACTATCTAACCTTAGGTATAATAAAATATTTTCATGCATTTCTTTAATATGAAAATTAGTTTAACTTATTAGCTCCTTTTTAAATTATTTCTTAAACCTTATTTTTTAGCAAATATTTATTTATTTCATTTTGAAAAAATGTAAATAAATTTTGTTTTAAAACGATCATTTAAACTAGTTGTAAATAGTTTTTTTTTTATTATATAAAATTTGAAAAATAACGATAAAGTTATAGCAAAATAACTACTAAATGATTGCCTATCATATTTTAGCTCATAATTTCTTTATCCAAAAAATTTAGAGGGGATATTTATCATGTTTTTACGTTCAGACAATTAATCCAAAATAATGCATTAAAAGGGGGGAAATTCAAATATCTCAAATCAAACAAAAAAATCAAAACTATCAAAAATAAAGATCATGACCATGACAACCAATATGGTTTGATTTTTAGTTAGTTTTAGTGGCCGTTTATTTGAATTTATGAATGTAAAGTAAAATGCATATGTTTTACAATTTTAACTGCTTCGTTAAAAAATAAATAAATTCAAAATATTTTATGAGGGATTTAGAACACCCTCTTAACTCGTTTTCTTCTTATTCAAAATTTGTTTACAAATCAAAAAAATGCTTCATTTGGGACGGCTTTCTTTCTGCTTTTGAAAGCAACTTTTTAGTTGTAAGAAATTCATCCCAAACAAAATCGAAATATGATTACCCCACGTATTGGAAATATCACACAACACATGTTTATCTTTCATGTTGATATCCGTAAAGGCACATCCGCCCTTCACACCTAATGCCCATCGACATACACATCAATCCTTCGTGATAACATCTATAACTATAACTCTGCTCATCATGTGCAACACCTAGTGTACGTAATGACCTTGCTTTAACCATCTTGACTCATGCAACCTCATTGAATAACACTATGTGCATCCCTTCTAAACCCCTTGGAAGACATAACAATTACGAGTGTCATAACGTGTTAATAGGCTGAGTTTGAGTATGCCGGAGATTAACCTGAACTTGACTTGACAACCCATTTTGATTTTAAAAAAAAAAAATTTGTAGCATGTCAACTATAGAGTTTAGATTAATTTATCAAAAACAAGAAGTGCACACAAACAAGCATAACAAATTTAAGCAAAATAATTAAACGAGTTATTTTTATATCAAAATAAGGCTCATGGGTCAACTTGAACTTGACACATCAACTAAACAAGTTGGAATTCCATACCCAAACATGGTTAGCATATTAAACATATAACCCGAATCTAAATTTTTTTGGTCAGATCTACATTGATTTATTGGATTAGGTCATTTATTGACACTTCCCAATTCATTGGCATCACCCCATTGTCATGCCAAAGGATTAAGTACTCATAAAAAAGTTAGATCATTTTACTCCCTATTACACAAAAACATAATTACAATTTTTTTTTTTTAACAATCAATCAAATAACTTAAAAAATTTCCAATGCAACATATTTATTTTCACATTATCTTTAAAATATCCTTGAATCTAAATAGTTGCAACCAAAAGGCCCCAAAAAATATTTTTTAGTTAAAAATAATTTGTGTGTTTTTTTTTTTTAAAGAAGAAAAAAGGCACAAGAAAAGGTAGTTATAAAGTTATAGGGGAAAAACAAACTTATTGAAAATTATTGTAACAAATAATTTCATAGCATAGAAATTTTTTGAAAGCATTGAAAAAATAGTAACTAAAAGTAATTATATTGTGATCTGAAAAATAAATCATTAAAAAATATCTCAAATGAAATCTTTATCACACAACGTTAGCTCAATTACATGATTTTTTTTTTTTCAATCTTATCCTTTTAAGTCTACAAATTTTATTTAAATCAAATAAAATAAAAATCATTTTCATTACTTTCTAATCAAATTCTTTTATACATGTCTCTATCTTTCTTAATATAGATTGAATATAATACACATATCATCGACTTAATTATCGCAAGGCCGATGTTTACAAAAGTAGAAACAATAGATTTATGTAAAGAAAAAAGAGCAAATAATTAGAAAAGGTTAGATAAATATTAAACGAATGTTTTACAACAATGTATCAATTTACTTATTATAGGAAAAATTGATTTCTTCATTCAAAAAAAAAAAAAAAAAATCGGGTCAAAATTTTTCCTATTATCATTCAAATTAAAACTTGGAAGCCCACGCTAATGTGTCTTACATGAGAAGGCATAACCAAGGACCCTTAAATATTTAATTTTGATCCGTCTGACCTTACCTGTGATAGAAAAGTCCTCAAATTTAAGAGGAAATTCTAGAAGATGATGGTGAGACCTGCAATGCTTTATAGTGCCGAATGTTGGCAATTAGAAGAGAAGCATAATGCTAAGTTAAGTATTGCAGAGATGAGAATGGTTAGATGGATGAGTGGCTTTACCCTTAGAGATAGGATACGAAATGAGCTATACCTGAAAAAGTTGGAGTAGCTCCAATGGAAGATAAGGTTAGAGAGAGTCGCCTTAGATGGTTTGGTCGCATAAAATGGAAGTCTTTCGATAACCCAGTTAGGAAAGTAAAGATAATAGATTTGACTTATGTGAAGAAAGGTAGAGGTAGACATAAAAAAGACTCATATAATCTTAGAAATGATCTTTTTTTATTAGATTTAAACGAGAATTTGACTTTTAACATGTCACAATGGAGAAACAGATTCATGTAGTCGGCCCCACGTAGTGGGACAAAGGCTTGATGTTGTTGTCGTTGTGGTCTGACCTTTCCGGAAGATGAGTCAACAATACTAGATTCTATCTAGGGTCATGCAAGGGTGAACCGTATGACGGTTTGATCCAATCTTAGTTCAAACTGATTTTTGACTCACCAAATCCTAAGTGTAAACGAGCTATATACACAACGTCGCAAACAAACGTTCTGAACAAATCAAATCTGTTAATTTTCTTCTCTATCTGTGCCTAATTCATTATTGCTTGATTAACAAACAGAAATGCTCAAGAAAACAAAGATTTGCATTAATTTGAATAAAATAAAAGATCAAGAAATAATCGATCTCAAAAGACTACCATATACAACCATAGCAGCATTGTCTAATTTTGTGCATTATTTTTACCAAAAAAGATATACACATTAACTAGTTAATAATAAATATCTTAACGAGTTCTTATAAAGTCAAAAATAAAAGAATGATATTTTGCTACTTCTCGATAGATTAACTAATGAGTTAAGCACCAGTTTTTTAACAAGCATCTCACTAAGGCATCATTTGGAACAACTTTTTAAATGCTTTCTAAAGCAATTTTTTATACAAAAATTTCTATACAACAACAACATCAAGCCTTTATCCCACTACATGGGGTTGGCTACATGAATCCTTTTTTCTCCATTGTGTCCTATTAAAAGTCAAATTCTCGTTTAAATCTAATAAAGAAAGGTCATTCCTAATATTTTCTAATCAAATCTTTTTAGGTCTACCCCTACCTTTCTTAGCACAAGTCAAATCTAATACCTCTACTCTCCTAACCAAGTCATCGGAAGGCCGCCTTTTAATGTGACCAAACCATCTAAGGCGACTCTCTCTAATCTTATCTTCTACTGGAGCTACTCCAACCTTTTCACGTATATGCTCATTTTGTATCCTATCTCTAAGGGTAAAGCTACTCATCCACCAAAGCATCCTCATCTCTGCCACACTATAATTAGAATTTTTTGTACTAGAAAATTGTTTTAAAAAACAATAAAAAAATTATCCCAAATGAAACCTAAGATTTCGTTTGGCAAATTTTCTTATTGCTTTCAATTTGCATGTAGATAAACTTACTACCAGTAATAAACAGCAGTTATAATCTAGCCATCAATTTGCATGTAGATAAACTTACTACCAGGTCTCTAAAGCAGTATATTCCACTCCAAGTGAGTCCTAAATAGGTCACAAAATAGTCAGAGCCAAAATGCATGGAGAAGAGAACACAATCTGCTTAAACTTTTTGACTTGAAAAGGCAATTCCTAGTCATTAGAAATGTTAGTGCCTTTACATCTACTCAATGAGATCAGCCAATTTGCTTCAGAACTTAGATTAGTCTAAATCAGTTGGCTTTCAAAAAAAGAAGGGAGAATATTACATGAGCCATAGAAACATACAGTTGCTCTGCGTTTAGTCATTGCTGAGCTTCCTACAAGAATGAAATTTTCCTTCATTGCAGTATATCATCTGCAGGATTTATTGTTAAGTAGTCAACCTGTGTGGCCTGCATTACTTCTTGCACAATATAAGAAAAAAATAAAATTGGCCATAATTTCCTGTATATATATATATATAAACTAGCATTTGAGTATGATTGATTGAATAGCATACCTTTTCCGTTTGCTTTTCGTCATTGTAGAGGATGAAGGGCTACTATGCCAGTTCCTTTTTCTTTGATTAATGAACCAGTTGTTAATCTGCTTCAGTTGCAACCCAGTTTCTTGAACTAATAACGCCTTGTCCTCCTCCTAATATAATGACCAAAACAATCAAATATAACGAGGAAGGGAAAAAGATCAATTTAACTACCATCAGAAACATAGTTATCTAGCACTTCAGAAGCTTCTGCATTACAAAAAATTAGATACAGTATATTTGGGGGCTAATATCACTTGGAATTGATACAATTAATGATTTGGTTGTTCTAGTACTCACAAGAGATTAGGAGAGAAAAAAAATTTAACAAAGAGATTAGGCAAAGTGAAGCATGGGCCTATTTATCAGGGGGGGTATTATAGAGTGAGCCCTGCTACAATGCTTCGTGACCTTTATGGTTGGAGGCTTTGGCGCCTACGGTAGACATCTTACTAAAACCAATTGGAATTTTTTTGCAAGGGTACAATAAAACAAGACATACCGAAAGCATGAGGCTTTGGCAAATGAAGGAATTGGAGGGAGGTCCTTATATGCAATCCCATACCACTGGATAGACATATGCTGGTTATGTTCTACTCATGACCTCCAGCAACAATGGAGACAACCTAACCATACAGGCCCATCTTGTTGGGAGGTGATGTTAGGATTTAAAGGAGACTGGAAAAATTATTTCATTGTCTTTGAAAGACATGTTAAATCATCGAGAAGAATTATCTGAAACGTACATGAATCCATTGAAATGCAGAATCAAGCTCTTCGATCTTTCACGTTTGAAGTGGTGCTTCATAAGAGAGCGAGAGACCCCTTCTTTTCATTCAAGATGAGAAATGAGGGAAATTAGAACTTCACCGCTTAAACTGTGGACCATGACCTTTTTATATTTCAAGTGTATTTATTTTTATTTCAACCCATCATTAAAATAAAATAAATATTTGACCTCTACACAAATAATTATTTCAATACAAATTTAATTTAGATGCCATATTAGCCAAAAAATTAATTTAATTCTTAAATAAATCACGAATCTAATTGACTCAATTTTATATAGCGTCTAATATATAATACTTTACTTACAGTATAAATATATAAGCCCACGTACAGAAATTTTCCAACAGGTGAAATATGATTATGAAAATTATGGTTGCCACATTGTAGTGTTGCCTGAATGTCTGATATGATACTAAAGCCTTTATTCCTTCCAGAAAAGCTCTAGCAAGACAAGTGTCTACACTTACTGTTGGATAAGGCCACTTGGAGTGAGACTTCCACCAGGCTTTTAAAAGGGAGGTGGTTTCTCCTGGCAGTTTACCAGCTCTTCGTTTCCGCAGAATCTCTTCTCTAATATCCACAATCTTCTCCTTGTAACCCTACAAATCATAAAATGGATAAATTTGATAGAGTTTATGCCCATAATTGAACGGTCAAAATCACACAAATATCTTATGGCTACAAATACCTGTTTTAGCTCATGCTTCAACTCTTCTCTGACACGCTCCATCAATGTTCTCTCACTCTCTGTTGGAAGACCAAAACCCATGCTATCGTGCTCATCCAGATTTCCATCATAAAAATTGTTACCACTATCTGAATTATCATCTTCATCATCTGACATAGTTGCACCAGTGCCTTCATTAGGAGAGATGCCTGTTATATTAAAAAGAAACACTCGCTCAAGATCTTTATAAAAAATTGATTTAGATCGCTAGGCCCTATTGATCTAACTCGATGAATCCTTGCCCAAATAAGCCAATGGGCCTGCCAATTGTTGATTCTGAGAAGTGGAATACAATGAGGAATTGCACAATATAAAAAAATTATCAAGGCAAAGAGGCAATCTGAATATTTTATAATACTTGCCAATGGATATACAACAAATCATCCTAATCTATCTTCAAGAACAAAACAGTCCTCAGTTTGTTGCCTGACGATCCAACAAATTGCTAACATTTCAACCCTTCTATTGTGTTGTGTCCCCTACTACCTATCAGAAGAACTTGGAAATAGCATTCGTGGGTTCAGAATCAAAGAGAGTACTTTCAGTTGAAAGTAGAGTTGTTAATGATTTAAGCTGTAATATTCTATAAGAAGATAAGGTCATTTAAAGCTGCTTGATGAAGCATGCTTCTTCGAACTGCCTACCAGATAGAAGAAAATCCAATAATGACATTGAACGGGACAGGCATCTTATGTGGGGATAACATTTCCTCCACATCAGATTTTTATTGAATTTGATTGATATATCTTATTTATTGTAAATATTTGACTAATCTTATTTATTGAGGGCTACGGAGATCAAGTAATACTTTTATGAGTTATAAAATTTATGTATCTTTGGGGAGAGTTTGTCAGTAATTTTCGGTTGTCATGTTACCATTAGAAATAGAGCCTTTAGCACAGAGGTTTGACATCCCACAACAACAAATAAATAGAGAGAGAAAATATAGAGAAAGATAGAGAGATAAGAGGAGCTGCCATTCTAGAAAGAAAGGGAGGAGTTCTTTCGGGTGCTTAGAGGGGAAGGTATTTGTATAAGCAATGACTACATCTCTACATCTAGCCCTCAATTTCATAGCATGTGAATGAACTCTCTTTCAATCATTAACATGAATAAAGTGATATCTTTCTCATTATATCTATTTTTGTATAAATATAATATTTTTATGTACCTCTTTTAAAATTTAATAAATTATTTGAATTATGTGAAGTCGTAGACATAGGTGAATCCCATTGAATCATGTAAATTTTCTGTGTCTGTATTTGTGTATAAGTTTTACCCATGGTTTTTTATCATGGCTTTTTTTGCTCTTTACTATTAACCTAACAATATCACTTAACGGTTTTGCTTATAACCCATAATTAATAGATAAATACCAAAATGTTGAGAAAGCTATTTCTGAAATTCTTAAGAAGTTTCACACGGCACCAAAAGATTGTTTGTTCCAATAAACTATCAAAAGGAATTATTCATGTGGACTTGCCTTTTGATGAAATACTTCGACTTCATGCACTGATTGCTTTTGACAAATAAAAAATTGTACTGTAAGAAATGACAGGCAACTTCAAATTCCAGAAAATGAGGATGAAGAAAAAACATGCGCCGCATAAGTTTTCTTGTAAAAGAGATTCCAAATTGTATATCAATGTACCCAATACTTCATTTCTTCAACAACTGATATATTATCAACCGACTCAAATTGTCATATAAAAGTACCTGTCAAACTTTGCAAAGATTGCTCGAGCTCCCAACAAGCCATCACGGCCTCCATTGCATGCACACGAACATGCTGTTGCAGCTGCTCTCTGAATGAGCATAATAACAACACATAGTGGGTCTAATGAAAAGAAAAAGACAGAATTAGGAATCAAAAGTCAAAGGAAAGTTTACGGAACATAAATCATTAATAAATAATGAAGAAGTTCCGACAGATTAAAGTTGTTGTGAAACTCATAAAGAAAGATAACATAGCTTATAAACTAAAGAGTAATAAAACAGAATCTTTTCTATTTTAGAGTGCTTAATAATCATAAAGATGGATCTTAGGACAAATTTTTATTGTTATGAGAAAAAATTAATAAAAAGAACAGATATTATTCATAAAATAAGTTTATATCTGACTCTTCCAAGCATGTAATATGTAAGAACCGGTTGGACCGACCGGTTCAATCGAACCGGTTCCCTTATTAGCAGCGGGCAGGCTCAGATTGGCGAGAGAGGGTGAGTGATCGAGCATAGACAAAGCGAGCTGAATCGAAGATGCGCGTTCAAAATGGTAGGCACGAACAATTTTGGGCAAGGATGGACGTGACTCCTCACATGTGATAAGTTGAGTTCAATCCAATTTACAGTACAGTATATATAAATGTGAAAATTGCTTATATAAATTGATATGTATATGTAAAGGAAAATAAATGAATAAAATAAATCATAATATGAAAATGGAAAGTATTGAAAGGAAAAAGATACATGCATGCAAATACATGAGTTCACATTCTTATGATATTGGCCGGGGACACAATATATTCGTACACGATAAATGAAAATAAAAATAGTCATATTTTCACGGATACAAAATTTAGACTGAGCTCTATTAATAAATGAACGGTTAAAAGAACAAAACAACAACAACAACAACAACATCAAGCATTTATCCCACTACGTGGGGTCGGCTACATGAATCCTTTTTCTCCATTGTGTCCTATTAAAAGTCAAATTCTCGTTTAAATCTAAAAAAGAAAGGTCATTCCTAATATTTTCTAACCAAGTCTTTTTAGGTCTACCCCTACCTTTCTTAACATAAGTCAAATCTAATACCTCTACTCTCCTAACCGGGTCATCGCAAGGCCGCCGTTTTATGTGACCAAACCATCTAAGGCGACTTTCTCTAATCTTATCTTCTACTGGAGCTACTCCAACCTTTTCACGTACATGCTCATTTCATATCCTATCTCTAAGGGTAAAGCCACTAAAAAATAATAATAATAATAATAAATATAATATTA